ACATTCGCACTAAATATATAGAAGATAATATACGACATGCTAGAAACATTACTGTTTCCTCCACCCTCTAACAATCCGTAAATTTTACCCTCTCTTAAATAATGTATGTCTGTTAGTTAAAATATTCTATACCTGTAAACGTATCCTATAATTTTCGATATTTAAAGCAAGTTTGAATTGTGTTTATATAACCGATATTTATTTTGTCGTAGAGCGTGTGTTTGTTTGTTTTTTTTTATAGAATACATCGTTGACAACCTTGACAATAGGTTTTTATATCTTTGTTTATTATTTGGCAATAAAATAACGATCGAAGCTTTGTTGCATCTTTTGCGCTCTTAAATGACCTCCAATAGGAGTGTCACAATAAATACGTAATATATTTCGGATCAAGACAGACGGTATGACTAATTGTTCTAGAAATTCTTTTTGGCTAATAAGTTGTAAGATTAATAAGGTTTACATGGCGTACGATTATCTAATATTGATATAATAAATAAAAGTACGAGTTTTTTTTACAAAAAAATTTTTCAGTCATTTCTTTCGTTGTTCGCACCATCAGCAGTTCGAAAATCACAAATACTCACCGAGACGACCTTCCTTTTTAGCCTACTGCCTCCGTAGTTAAAATGCAAAAATTGATAAACGCCTCATCTGGTGTTCTTGCCACATTTATGTGATTATTAATTGTATTAAATGTATTATGTGATTGTGGCAAGAACACCAGATGACGTTTTTATCAATTTTTGCATTTTAAGTACAGAGGCAGTAGTCTAAAAATGAAGGTCGTCTCCGTGAGTAATTGTGATTTTAGAGCTGCTGATTATGCGAACAACGAAAGAATTAACTGGAAAAAAGTCGTACTTATATTTATTATATTAAGGTTGTAAGATCTTCTAACTGCTGGATAATAGGACTCCACTTTGTGTCCCGTCTCTGAAATTCTCAGATTTGTTGCTTATCAGCCATCGTAAACGACGATGGTCAGTAATAGTTTAAATTTGAACCCATATAAGTAAGGTTTAAAATATTTGGTGGCCCAGACTACTGCTAGACATTCCTTCTCGGTTGTGCTATACATTTTTCTGCTTGCATTCTGCTTGCATAATCAATGAGCATTTCTTCTTTATCGTCTTCTTGCGATAAGACCGTTTTTGCAGTTCCATTTCATGCACCCATAGTTAACATAAAGGGTTTAGAAAAGTCTGGGGACTTTAAGAGTGGAGAGGAGGTAACTATTTTTTTTTAATCTCTCAAGGCTTGTTGCAAAATCCCGATAGAGCGCCTATTGTCGATAAATATGTAGACTGTCCCATCAAATTGAGTGCTTCTTGAACTAAGCGGAAAGGATACCGGTCGTTTTGGTGATTTTCTTTAATTTTTCTTCTTGAACAATAACGAAAGAGTTGGCCATAAGGTCATAGAATGCGCAATTACTCCTTTTTCTAATAATTCATCGACAATATCGCTCATTTGCTCTCGCTGAGCATAGAGTATCCGATAAGGAGGTTAATATATGTGAGAAGCTTCTCTGGTATTTATTTCGTGTTCTGTTACTGGCAACATCCTAAATCGTAATCATCAGAGAAAACTTGCGCTCTCTGGCAGGGAGTTCCTTCTAAGTATCCGCTAATTTACTTTATTAATTCGCCCATGTGTCTGGCTGTGAAGCGGTATTGAATTTGGTAATACACCCCGAGCTTTTTGTCATCGAGTGTATTATGTATATTCCTCATTCCATATCTAAAAGCGTACATAGATTTTCGAATGCCTCGATTCTCGATCCTCACTCTACCAAAAGGTGTGTCTTGTAGGTTTCGGGAGTCGTCGCCCAGTTAACCTCGGGGTTGATGTTGTGTTCCTTGATCTGGATGTTCCCGAGAACGCCAAAAACGCGGTGGTCTACGTACAGAGTCGCATCGACTACGTTCTTGGGTTCCCAGTTGCTATAACTGCTCCTGAATTTTCACTCAAAATTCCTTTAACTGTAGCCTTAGGTTATTCTTTATTATAGCTAGAGTTATTTATAGTTCTTACTATCGTTCGGAATTTCCCCGTTAGTTGGTCTACAGTTTCCTCACTAATTGCTGCTGGCCCTAGCGAATTTATCCGGTTCCCGTAACTTTACCTGTCGGTTTATCCAGTCATTGAGAGAGTGCAAATGCACAATTTCTCCGGTAATAGATTCGAGAACAAATATTTAATAAGTATGACTAGGTCGACGTTATATTGGATTCTCACATAGGCAATAAGCTCGGTTGCTTTGTTGTGTACGGCAATGTGAACGTGTAGACTACATAGGTAGGATGTCTCCAGGGAAAACATTCTGGCTTCTATTTAGGCATTACAAACGTAAAAAAAGTGAAANCTTATAATTAATTGATAATATCGTTCATTTGCTCTCGCAGAGCATAGAATATCCGATAAGGAGGTTAATATATAAAGGAAGTATTTATTTCGTGTTCTATTACTGGCAACATCCTAAATCGTAATCCGCAGGGAAAACTTTGCGCTCTCTCGCAGGGAACCCCTTTTAAATTTCCGCCAATTTACTTTATTAATTCGCCCATGTGCCTGTTTCTGAAGCGGTATTAAATTTTGTAATACACCCCGAGGTCTTTGTCCTCGGAGTGTATTATATAGATATATTCCACATTCCATACCTAGGAGCATACATAGATTTTCGAGGGCCTCGGTTCTCGATCCTCGCTATACAAAAAGGTAGGTCTCGGAGGCCTCGGGGCCAGTTTGCCTCGGGGTTGATGATGTCTTCCTTGATCTGGATGTTCCCGAGAACGCCAAAATGGCGGGGTTTACATATAGAGTCGCTTGGACTATGTTCTTGGGCTCTCAGTTGCTGTAACTGCTCCTGATATTTCGCTAAAAATTCCTCTAATTATAGTCTGTAGCCTTAGGTTTTTCTTTATTATAGCTAGGGCTATTTATAGTTCTTACTATTTACTCGCTCGGTATTTCCCCGTTAGTTGGTCTACAGTTTGTTCACAAATTGCTGCTCGTCCTATCAAAGATATCGTGTTTCCTTGACATTACTTGTCGGTTTATCCAGTCATTGAGAAAGTGCAAATGGACAATTTCTCAAATAATAATAGATACGAGAACAAATATCAAATAAGTATGACGAGGTCGACGTTATTTTGGATTCTTACATAGGCAATAAGCTCGTTTGCTTTGTGGTATGCAGCAACGTGACACGTGGGTAGACTACATAGGTAAAATGTCTCCAAGGAAAACATTATTTGACTTTTCTTTTTATATTTTGACTTTTATTTACAAAAGTAAAGTCAAAAATTTTCATTTGGTAAGCCCTTTGGTTAGGAAGAACCCAAAACCAACTACTCGCACTCGGGTATTAAAACTGTGATTAATATTTTGTCGAGAAATTTATAATTAATTTAATAACTATAATTTTAAGCCAGATTCCATGCACCTGACTCGGTACAGTTGCGGCTATCATCGAGGAGAGAAACAATATTTTCACTTGTGGACACTCAATTAGTTAATGCGTGTTGTTTTGTTTTGCACCCATTTTTCGTTAGGCAATCACAATGTTGCTTTTTAAAACTTGTTTTAAAAACAATAATTTATAGGACTTTTTGTGTTTATAACTAAGCATAAGTTGTTATATTTTGCTAGTTTCTTTTTCTAGAATAACTTAATAATTAGTGTTCCGGCAAAGAAGCTTATCTGTAATTTTGTTCAAACGTAATAAATTATATACATGAAAGAAAAATAGTTAGAAACGTTAAATGTATAAAAATATTGCTATAGAAAAGTATTATTTATAATAAAACTACACATTTATATGTAGTGTATTACGTAAAAAATTAGTTTGTTATCCTGCTCGAAACATATTTAATTCTATTACTTGTAACACTTCTTTAATACACCCTGTACAACAACAATAGAAAGAAACACTAGTGCTGTGGACCTTATTGAAAGGCAGCATTTTTCGCATTAATTTGGTAATATGTGATTATTTAAAATATAATTTGTAAAGCTAATACTGTTTAGAATGCGTATAAAAATTTAATATACAAATGATTCTTTTTTATACTAGTACTTTTGTATTGTTACAAGCCGAATGCATTAAAGTTGTCTTAAGAGAGGAGTCAACTACTTAAAGAAAGTACGCGAAAAGAAGCCAGAAAAAAGCAGAAAGCGATTTTGTATTTCACGTAAAATGATCGGTTTTTACGAGGAAAGACAGAAGAATGTAATTGCTATTTGTATATACTTGTAAATAGAGGACTAAGAATTACAGTTCGTACAAAAAGGTGTTTTTTCAACCAATTAACATTAACAAAGTACAGAAATAGATCTCGGGCTCAAACTTATGACCAAAATGCTTTAAACTTCAGTAATGGGCCAATGTAAAATGTATTTAAATCACATTAAGAGTAAACTTATTTTTAAATAATGAATAATTTGTTAAAGAAACTTCAAAACGCTTTGTGTTATTACAAAAAATTAAAAGTAATAACTCACGTGAGTAAAAATTTCGTTTTCTAATTGCATATACTAAAGTTATTGACACATTTCCTATGTTTTTTCCCTTAGCATTTTCATTTACTCCGATAAACTGAAGGAAGTTATAAAAGAATTATTTTTCACGCACCAAATAAGAAAAAAAAAATAATTTAACATACATAAAATAACTTCGATCTTTTCAACAAGATTTTTTTTATTTAGAACAAAAGTGAATTATTTATAATAATTGCATTTTAATCTGTGATCTTCCATACTTTCTCTTAACTAGTTGAAGTGAAAACACGTAGAATAAGTAATATAATACGAACAGTCCCCTTACTGCACCAGGGAAACAATTTTGTCTGGTGTAATATAACACTTACTCTTTGTTCCTACTTCAACTACTGAAGAGGTAGTAAAGAAAACACACACATGCACATGCATTTAGTGTGAGCAGATCTTTTTTCTTATATATAAAATAAGTACTGTTGGAAAAATAAAAGAAAATCTATATTATTATAAATACATTTTAATCGATCTCTCGTAGAAGATAAGTATTCATTATAATTTTAAGTTAATTTTCTGTAATGACGCGAGTAAAATGATGTTCTAGTGTACCTGATTATGCATAGAAGAAAAAAATAATGCTTTAATCCAAATTTATTTTCTTCTAAATATTTTAATTACATTTAAATTTAAAGAAGAATTTAATACATTTTTCGTTAAAATACGTAAAATTTCACTGAAAAACAGTTAACAAAAATCCAAAATGTTAACCTGTAATACTGCGAATATAACATTGAGAGATGCAACTCTGAAAAAAACAGAAATAAAATTTGTAATTTTCATTTTGTTAATGCATTCTTAATTTTTATTATTGAGAGTTGCAATAGAAACTTACTTCAAATTCTCCAAGAAAAAGCAATGATTGAGGAATGTTTTGGTGTACACAATCATCAAATTCGTCTAACTGCTATAAAAATGTAATTACAAAAAATAATTGCAATTTATTTGTACGAATAACTTAATTTTATGTGGAGAAAATTAGAGAAAAATTCCACAAAGTGTTGCACAAGTAAAGTTTAAAGCTAAATAATTTAAATATTTTCTAAAGAATTCGGGACAGAGGGAATGGAGCAGAGAGGACGTCTTAAATAAAGATAATGGAGAAAACAGATTAATTTTTCTTACCTCCTGTGTGGCAGTTTGACAGAGAAACTGTTTTATTCCTTCTGATCCTGTTGCAGAGGTTTGATCCCGAAGGCAATCGTAAAAAATTTTCAGATTCTAAGGATATTAAAGACGTTTCCATTAAAAATATCTTTCATATTTTTATTTTATAAAATCAATATATTTCACCTCTGGATCAACGGTATTATTAAAACATCTGCCAAAACAGTCAAGATTATTTACACCTGTAAAAAACGTCATAATTAGTGAGATGAGTCTGAAGAGTGAAAATATAGAAAACATGTGCATGTTTACAATTGCGGTTACACATTTTAAATAAATAATGGTCTCCTTCTAATAGTTGTGGAAGTGTTTCCTTTTTTTAAAGAATGTTATTAATAAATAATTTACTTTAAATTTATGTAAAACTTTTACACTTTTTATATTAATTAACAACAGTAAAAAGTAGAAATATCTTACGGCAGTACTGATTAATATAAAATCTTCTATTGGTCGTATCGGCACGGACACTCCATGCCATCATCAACACGAAGGATAAAATGAAAGTTGAGAACATTCCTTTCATTATAGTGACTTCGTTTTTTACTATATTATCAATAGATTATGATCAATTAATATTACTTATTTTAAATTAATAAATAGAATTAAAATTAGTTTCCATATTCTACAATAGAAACACACATATAGTTATAACAGGAAACTATTATATACAGGGAAAAACACCACTAAATTAAAGTTAATGGTAGCCCAAAATAAAAGTTACTTGACTGGACAGTCATTAGTCCCGCATAATTCCTTAAAAATAGGAACAAGAGAAGAAGAATGAGACGAAAATCATAAAAGAATTCCTGTCTGGTGTGTTCGAAGAGAAAAGAATGTTTTTTAATCTGTATATAGAGCACCAAACGTTATAGTTCGGGTAGTACGACGTCTTTCCAAGCAATTGCAACGCTCCTATTCGAAGTAGAGAGGAAGACTTCGGACAGGAACTGTTTGTTTAAAACAGTTCCTGTCCGAAGTCACATAGATAAATTGAGTTTAAATTACATTGAGGGGAAACTTACCTTTCAACAGTGAATAATTATTCAAACGAGCTGAAATCGCTTCATTTTATACGAAAATCTTACACGTAATGTGTCATGTGACTAAAAACTCCATTTTCAAGTGGCCTACACTGACGTCATCGGCAGGTTTTGTTTGTTCTGAAAATGTTTCTGCTACGCATATTTTCGTTTACTCCTATAAACTGAATTAAGTTTATCTACATTCTAAAAAGAGTACTGTTCCCCTCAGCCTTTAACGATCTTTAAAGCTCGACGTCTTTTAACATACATCTATTAAGTAATTAATTGTTTAATTAACGTACACTTTATTTATAATATCGTTGTCTTTATAACCCCTCAATAACCGGAAGAGTGCAGGGCGCATGCAGTTCTATTATTATAAAATTATATTTGTTATAAAATAATTCTTATATTTAAAGTCTACTTCTAAAATGTCTAAAAAAAAGTTTTAAATTAATTGTGTTTATATAAATGATATTTATTGTTGTAGAGCGTGTGTGTGTGTGTCTGTTCGCTGCTCGTTATCGAATGCATTTCGTGTATATTCTAGCGTAATTATTATTTAAAACGTTCATTAAATAAATGTAGTAGTGTGCTTATTAATTAAACTATTGTGTCTTTTTAGTGTTCTTAATAATATACGTAATAATAATTATTAATGTTTGTTTATTTGTCAATTTACGACATGGCAATTCTGTGTAGCTAGTAACTACGTTTGTATAGCAAGTGTTTAAAACACCAGACGCAAATGAATGTACGTGTTATAAAATGTTAGCTTTAGCTCGATTTAGTTTAAAATTTCACACATCTAAAAATATGAAATAGGCCCGTACTTAAGTGTTATAAACAAGAATACTCGAAAACTCCATTATTACTTAGGCTTGTATCGATGACATTTTAGTAGTGTTTATTAATAGTTAATTTTTATGTATTGATGAATTGTTTTAAACGTAAATAGCTTTTATAATAGTGTTTTAAAACTCGAAAAGTAACTGAAATTGTTCGAATCTTTAGACTGTTGAATGTATTACATTTACACTGCATCCTGTAGTAAAAGTGTTATAATAAATCGTCTTTTATGGCTGAAATATTACAATAAATATTGTATAGAATGATCACAGAATAAATATTTTCTACTTTATTTTATGTTAATATAATTTAACTCAATTTTACAGGTTCATGTAACACAACTTTTGCTTACACCTAAACACAAACACGTGTCAAACTGTACGTGTTCGATTAGAATAATTTTATTTACTATTTATTATTTTAAGTGTATTATTACGAATTATTATTATTCTGTTTTGATTAAGTATTGTAAATTAAGTATAGAAATAAAATAAAAAAACAAAGCTACATGTTATTCGTTTGCTAGATATTGCATTGCTGTTATTAATAAGCTTTGGTTCTGATATAAACATACACTCTTGCAGTTAGTTTCACGATTATTCATGTTTAGCCACACTTACATTCGAATTTCTTCTGTCAGGGAGCCATGAATCATAAACTTCTACACAAGTTTTACTTAAATCGTAGGTTTTGTTCGGCTGCACAGACGTGGTTTTAGTTATAATAGGGCACTATGTTTTTTCGTTTTTTATTATCTTTTCTATACTCTTACTATACTGCACAATACTTTGTTTTTCATTCTCCTTATTAAAAGGTGTTGGCTTTACAGCGAGTCAGCAGCATGGCACTACTTCAACCAAGTAGTCTCTACTGTCTCCCGGTTCAGAATGTGTCTTTTTATTGTCTTGACGGGTTTGTATTCTCGCAGTCACTTTGCGAAGTGTTTGTCTGTCAACTATCCTTTCTTTTGTTTTTGGATAGTTATAATTTCATTTCATCTGTTTTGGGCACTCTTTCTCTTTTATTTAGAATTTTAAAACTAATACTACTTGATGGATGACAGGTTCGCTGTTTCTTTTCGTTCCCTTTTCCGACTGTTAGTTTTGTCTTAATGGCTTCATTACTTAACTTCTTTCTCTTTGAATTGCTTTTCTAACTTATATCCTTCTTTCTTTAGGTTGGTTTTTCTATCACTTTTTCCTTTATAGATAGACGATAGAGAGAAGGCGTCTAAGACAGTATGCCAGAGACTTCTTCATTTTGCATGTAAAGGTTCAAACACTGGAATCCTTCTGGATCGGCACAGTGTACCGGGTAAGCTTCCTAGGCGGCTGTTGCAGCCGATCTTTCTTTCTTTTAAATCGCTTTTTCCTGTCGAGTAGTACAAATATAGCCTCAAATGGGGCGTCCAGCATAGTGTCTAATCGATGGTAACACCGAGGTACTTAAGCTCGTTCAGTCTTCTGATGGGGTTTCTCCGGATCCGGTATTATATTAATCAGCAGACCAACACTCCACTCCGGGCCACCGTCAGGGCCTCCGATTTCACAGGGCTGAACGAGAGCTTGTGCAGCTCATCTCAGTGAACGAGTTGTTCTATTGCTTCATTGACACGACTCTCCATGTCGCTATGGCTGCAGCCTGCAACTACTAGCAACAGATCGTCTGCATATGCCTGCAACTGAACGTCGTCCGGGAAAAACTAGTCGCAGCACCGTGTCTGCTAGAACCTTCCAAAGTAAGGGGCCGATACGGGATCCTTGGGGACAACTTCTCTCTAGTATTTTCGTATAGCTTGCACTTGGTGTTTTATAAACTACCTCGCGGTCGCTCAGGAAACTACTGGTAAGCGATACAAGGGTGGTTGGCTGGTTCTCCTTCCTAAGTTCACCCACTATGAATGGACACCAGACATTGTCAAAAGCCCCCGCGATGTCCATTGAAACAAGCGACATGTGAAAATCCTGCCGGCGGTTCTGGCAAACCAGAAAAACCGCATGATGTCGAGCTTGGCAGGTAGAGAAGTCCGGCTGGAACCCATATTGATGTGGGTGTAACAGCTCTTTCCGCTTAAAGTAGTAGTATACTCTGTCATTAAGGATTCTGTCGAGAACTTTCCCTAGGACTGGCAAGAAACTGATCGGTCTATACGACTTCGGTTCGTTCTTCGGGCGCCTATTCTTATGAATAAACACAAGACGCGCCCGTTTCCACTGCACTGGGAAATGACCCAGGAGCAGACACCTCTGATACAGAGTGCAAAGCAGGCCAGAACGTTCATGTTGCAGAACCTGCACCATTTCGGCTGTGATCTCATCAACGCCAGGTGCTTTCCTCTTCTTTAAATTGTCCACGACATGGGCAACTACAGATTCTGTCACCTGCACATTTCGGCCTCAAGAACAGGCAGCTCCACGTCACTTCTAAGCCGCCTCTGTTCTTTAGTATTATCAGACCGCTCATTGCATGAAATATGCGAGCGGAGCAGCACCCGTATCGATTCCGCCTGTGTAGAAGTTAGGGTACCATCAGGTCTTTTTATAGCCCCAAGAACGTACTACGCTTAACTTTGCTCACCACAAGCTTGTAGGGTTGACAGAACAGGTTTTTGTCACTGATTTTCTGACAGAATCCGAGGCATGAGGTCTTTTTTGCATCATTCAATTTGTACTTGTACTCAGCATTGGCCCTCTGGAACTCCAGTTTTTTGGTAGCCCGAAGGTCATTGTCCCCGCATCGTTAAAAGCGTCGGCAGAGCGCCCTCACACACATNTCTATAATTAACAAAAAAATTAATATTTTTGAATGAGACTTTCTCTCGAAGACTTTACTCATCGCAAAAATATAGTATATTGAAATGTTTTTATGTAAATTCAATAGATTTAAAATGATTTAAAATGTAATTTTGACCCGAAGAACACAATGCTAGGCTTCAATTTTTAATCACATTTTAAATTAATTTAACCTAAAATATATGCTTTCTACCTCAAAGCAGCAGTGTCTTTCCGCTGTAATTCGTACTTTTCCTGTAAACAGCAGAGTCATGCTGGCCATCTATCTATCTCACGATGTAAACACAAAAACATATATACACACACATTCACGCGAACACCTATATATGTCTGTGTGTTTGTATGAAAAAAGGATAGCGGGGTTTCAATTGTGCTTATCGACAGTAGACAGAACGATTTTGTTTTTCATTTGAAAGGTTTAGCTTCTCTGGAGGAGCCAGTATAGCGTCAGGTATTATTCATAAATTAATTGATGGACCCTGATGAAAGGTACTGAATAGTTCAGTCATTAAAGTGGCAGAATAGAAAAGAGCAACCAGGAAAAAAAGAAAAATTAAGAAAAACTATACAGGAAATTTTGTCTGGTGTGCTAAAAAGAAAAAAAATGTTACTGCAACCTGTGTAAAATGTCGAAATATGCATGTATGTAGCTTAGGTATAGGGATATTATAAAAACTTATACCTTAATTACGTTCAATACATCCGCACTAAATATATAAAAGATAATATACGACATGCTAGAAACATTAATGTTGCCTCCACCGTCTAACAATCCCTAAATTTTACCCCTCTTAAATAATGTATGTCTGTTAGGTAAAATATTCTATACCTGTAAACGTATCCTATAATTTTCGATATTTAAAGCAAGTTTGAATCGTGTTTGTATAATCAATATTTATTTTGTCGTATAGCGTGTGTTTGTCTGTTCTCTGCTCGTTATCAGGGTCATTTTTACAATTTATTTAAAACTTTAATGTATCAAAATGTAGAGTAGTTCGCATACCTCCTTGAACATTTTAGATAATAGGTTAGGTTTTGAGCACTATCCGTAAGAAGTTGAATAAATGTAGTGTCTTAAAACAATGTCGATAACAAAGGCTTTTTGTTTATACTATAAATATTAGGTAAATGTATGACTTCGGCGTATCGACTAAAATGGTCCACGAAGACTAATATATACTTATTTCCATTCATTGTGATGAGTAAAGGACCTTAGAGGTCCAAAGCAGTTTGTTCAAATAGGTTTGACGAAGGAGAAAATAATAGTTCAGTTTCTTTTTGTTTGTTTTTTCTTTTTTATAGAACACGTCGTTGACAGCCTTGACAATACGTTTTTATATCTTTGTTCATTGTTTGCCAATAAAATAACGATCGAAGTTTCGTTGCATCTTTTGCGCTCCTAAATGACCTCCAATAGGAGTGTCATAATAAATACGTAATATATATGGGATCAAGACAGACGGTATGACTAATTGTTCTAGAAATTCTCCCTGGCTATTAGGTTGTAAGATCTTTCAACTTTTAGATAATAGGATTTTACATTGTATCCCGTCTCTGAAATTCTCAGATTTGTTGCTTATCAGCCATCGTAAACGACGATGGTCAGTAATAGTTTAAAATATTTGAGTCCCAGACTACTGCTTGGCATTCCTTCTCGGTTGTTCTATACATTTTTCGTGTATTTTACGCAAGCAATGAGCATTTCTTCTTTATCATCTTCTTGCGATAAGACCGTTTTTACAGCTTCAATTGATGCATCTATACCTAATATAAAAGGTCTAGAAAAGTGTGCAGACTTTAATAGTGGAGAGGATGTAACTATTTCTTTCAGTCTCTCGAGGCTACTTGCCAAAATCCCGATAGACCGCTTATAGTCAATTAATATGTAAACTGTCCCATCAAACTGAGTGCTACTTGAACTAAGCAGAAAGGATACCGGTCGTTTTGGTGATTTTATTTAATTTTCCTTCTTCACCAATAAATGAAAGAGCTGGCCATGAAGTCATAGAATGCGCAATTACTACATTTTCTAATAATTAATTGATAATATCGTTCATTTGCTCTCGCAGAGCATAGAATATCCGATAAGGAGGTTAATATATAAAAGAAGTATTTATTTCGTGTTCTATTAATGGCAACATCCTAAATCGTAATCAGCAGGGAAAACTTTGCGCTCTCTCGCAGGGAACCCCTTTTAAATTTCCGCCAATTTACTTTATTAATTCGCCCATGTGCCTGTTTCTGAAGCGGTATTAAATTTTGTAATACACCCCGAGGTCTTTGTCCTCGGAGTGTATTATATAGATATATTCCACATTCCATACCTAGGAGCATACATAGATTTTCGAGGGCCTCGGTTCTCGATCCTCGCTATACAAAAAGGTAGGTCTCGGAGGCCTCGGGGCCAGTTTGCCTCGGGGTTGATGATGTCTTCCTTGATCTGGATGTTCCCGAGAACGCCAAAATGGCGGGGTTTACATATAGAGTCGCTTGGACTATGTTCTTGGGCTCTCAGTTGCTGTAACTGCTCCTGATATTTCGCTAAAAATTCCTCTAATTATAGTCTGTAGCCTTAGGTTTTTCTTTATTATAGCTAGGGCTATTTATAGTTCTTACTATTTACTCGCTCGGTATTTCCCCGTTAGTTGGTCTACAGTTTGTTCACAAATTGCTGCTCGTCCTATCAAAGATATCGTGTTTCCTTGACATTACTTGTCGGTTTATCCAGTCATTGAGAAAGTGCAAATGGACAATTTCTCAAATAATAATAGATACGAGAACAAATATTAAATAAGTATGACGAGGTCGACGTTATTTTGGATTCTTACATAGGCAATAAGCTCGTTTGCTTTGTGGTATGCAGCAACGTGACACGTGGGTAGACTACATAGGTAAAATGTCTCCAAGGAAAACATTATTTGACTTTTCTTTTTATATTTTGACTTTTATTTACAAAAGTAAAGTCAAAAATTTTCATTTGGTAAGCCCTTTGGTTAGGAAGAACCCAAAACCAACTACTCGCACTCGGGTATTAAAACTGTGATTAATATTTTGTCGAGAAATTTATAATTAATTTAATAACTATAATTTTAAGCCAGATTCCATGCACCTGACTCGGTACAGTTGCGGCTATCATCGAGGAGAGAAACAATATTTTCACTTGTGGACACTCAATTAGTTAATGCGTGTTGTTTTGTTTTGCACCCATTTTTCGTTAGGCAATCACAATGTTGCTTTTTAAAACTTGTTTTAAAAACAATAATTTATAGGACTTTTTGTGTTTATAACTAAGCATAAATTGTTATATTTTGCTAGTTTCTTTTTCTAGAATAACTTAATAATTAGTGTTCCGGCAAAGAAGCTTATCTGTAATTTTGTTCTAACGTAATAAACTAGATGTAACAAAAATAGTTAGAAACGTTAAATGTATAAAAATATTGCTATAGAAAAGTATTATTTATAATAGAACTACACATTTATATGTAGTGTATTACGTAAAAAATTAGTTTGTTATCCTGCTCGAAACATATTTAATTCTATTACTTGTAACACTTCTTTAATACACCCTGTACAACAACAATAGAAAGAAACACTAGTGCTGTGGACCTTATTGAAAGGCAGCATTTTTCGCATTAATTTGGTAATATGTGATTATTTAAAATATAATTTGTAAAGCTAATACTGTTTAGAATGCGTATAAAAATTTAATATACAAATGATTCTTTTTTATACTAGTACTTTTGTATTGTTACAAGCCGAATGCATTAAAGTTGTCTTAAGAGAGGAGTCAACTACTTAAAGAAAGTACGCGAAAAGAAGCCAGAAAAAAGCAGAAAGCGATTTTGTATTTCACGTAAAATGATCGGTTTTTACGAGGAAAGACAGAAGAATGTAATTGCTATTTGTATATACTTGTAAATAGAGGACTAAGAATTACAGTTCGTACAAAAAGGTGTTTTTTCAACCAATTAACATTAACAAAGTACAGAAATAGATCTCGGGCTCAAACTTATGACCAAAATGCTTTAAACTTCAGTAATGGGCCAATGTAAAATGTATTTAAATCACATTAAGAGTAAACTTATTTTTAAATAATGAATAATTTGTTAAAGAAACTTCAAAACGCTTTGTGTTATTACAAAAAATTAAAAGTAATAACTCACGTGAGTAAAAATTTCGTTTTCTAATTGCATATACTAAAGTTATTGACACATTTCCTATGTTTTTTCCCTTAGCATTTTCATTTACTCCGATAAACTGAAGGAAGTTATAAAAGAATTATTTTTCACGCACCAAATAAGAAAAAAAAAATAATTTAACATACATAAAATAACTTCGATCTTTTCAACAAGATTTTTTTTATTTAGAACAAAAGTGAATTATTTATAATAATTGCATTTTAATCTGTGATCTTCCATACTTTCTCTTAACTAGTTGAAGTGAAAACACGTAGAATAAGTAATATAATACGAACAGTCCCCTTACTGCACCAGGGAAACAATTTTGTCTGGTGTAATATAACACTTACTCTTTGTTCCTACTTCAACTACTGAAGAGGTAGTAAAGAAAACACACACATGCACATGCATTTAGTGTGAGCAGATCTTTTTTCTTATATATAAAATAAGTACTGTTGGAAAAATAAAAGAAAATCTATATTATTATAAATACATTTTAATCGATCTCTCGTAGAAGATAAGTATTCATTATAATTTTAAGTTAATTTTCTGTAATGACGCGAGTAAAATGATGTTCTAGTGTACCTNTTAAATAACACTTCGTTCATTAATTGAATTTATAATTAACAATGTTATACTAGTTGAAACCTGTTTAATTTTACTGCTCAATTTTACTGTGTCATAACAATTAATGATAGTTGCTATGATAAAAGCATTGAAAAACGAGAAAAATAGGTATATAATTCTTGAGAAAGTGTGTATTTGGAAGGTTCAATTTTCTTCTAAATATTTTACATTCATTTAAATTTAAAGAAGAATTTAATACATTTTTCGTTAAAATACGTAAAATTTCACTGAAAAACAGTTAACAAAAATCCAAAATGTTAACCTGTAATACTGCGAATATAACATTGAGAGATGCAACTCTGAAAAAAACAGAAATAAAATTTGTAATTTTCATTTTGTTAATGCATTCTTAATTTTTATTATTGAGAGTTGCAATAGAAACTTACTTCAAATTCTCCAAGAAAAAGCAATGATTGAGGAATGTTTTGGTGTACACAATCATCAAATTCGTCTAACTGCTATAAAAATGTAATTACAAAAAATAATTGCAATTTATTTGTACGAATAACTTAATTTTATGTGGAGAAAATTAGAGAAAAATTCCACAAAGTGTTGCACAAGTAAAGTTTAAAGCTAAATAATTTAAATATTTTCTAAAGAATTCGGGACAGAGGGAATGGAGCAGAGAGGACGTCTTAAATAAAGATAATGGAGAAAACAGATTAATTTTTCTTACCTCCTGTGTGGCAGTTTGACAGAGAAACTGTTGTATTCCTTCTGATCCTGTTGCAGAGGTTTGATCCCGAAGGCAATCGTAAAAAATTTTCAGATTCTAAGGATATTAAAGACGTTTCCATTAAAAATATCTTTCATATTTTTATTTTATAAAATCAATATATTTCACCTCTGGATCAACGGTATTATTAAAACATCTGCCAAAACAGTCAAGATTATTTACACCTGTAAAAAACGTCATAATTAGTGAGATGAGTCTGAAGAGTGAAAATATAGAAAACATGTGCATGTTTACAATTGCGGTTACACATTTTAAATAAATAATGGTCTCCTTCTAATAGTTGTGGAAGTGTTTCCTTTTTTTAAAGAATGTTATTAATAAATAATTTACTTTAAATTTATGTAAAACTTTTACACTTTTTATATTAATTAACAACAGTAAAAAGTAGAAATATCTTACGGCAGTACTGATTAATATAAAATCTTCTATTGGTCGTATCGGCACGGACACTCCATACCATCATCAACACGAAGGATAAAATGAAAGTTGAGAACATTCCTTTCATCATAGTGACTTCGTTTTTTACTATATTATCAATAGATTATGATTAATTAATATTACTTATTTTCAATAAATAAATAGAATTAAAATTAGTATCCATATTCTACAATAGAAACACACATAGTTATAACAGGAAACTATTATATACAGGGAAAAAACACTACTAAATTGAAATTAATGGTGGGCCCAAAATAAAAGTTACTTGACTGGACAGTCATTAGANCAAAAAAAAATCAAAATTTATATTATTTTTGACAAATTTTTAAATTTAATATTACTCAAACGCAATGCATCCCACGACAAAAACGCAAAAATAAATTTCATTGCTAAATTTGATGTATATTAAGAAGAATAGTTTTTAATGGTGTGACATAAGATTAGTAAAGATGTGTCTTTCTTACATCTGTTCCTACAGTGAAAAAATCAAACGTAAAAACCTTTAAAAATGTAGATTTCCTGCTTAGCAAAAACCATACAAAAACTTAAATTATCATTAAATATTTTTTATTGTTTCTGAGATGTTATATAAAAAAAAACAAAAAAAAAAATTATAGCACTTTAATTCCTCTTTATCTCGAAAAGTAAGCTTTATTTCCTACTTATAGTCTACTTATTTTTTATATTCTATTACCTTCCGAAGTTAGGCCACTCTTATGATTTTTAACACCTTATATACGTCAAACGAAAGTTATATTAATATTATACGTATGTATTGTTAAACTGATAATTAGAGTCGATATCTGTAAATGTTTCACGTCATACTTTAAATTGTTTTGAAAAATTCGTGAAATTTAAGCTTCAGAAAGGACGACGCACTTTGACTATGTCAAATAAAAAATAAGGAGAAAATTTAAATTGATTTGGAGGAGACTTTAACTACAATTGAATCAAATTGTTTGAAGAGAAAAATATTGATAAGAATCTAAAATTATTTTGAAATATCATTTCCATAAAATTATATTAATATATTTTTAAAAAGTGCGAAATTTTAATTGCTAGTTGTAATGAATCTGTAATTTATTTTTTATTCATTTTTTAAATCAATAATTTGCATACTAATAGTAAATTAAATTTTAATTTAATTAAAATCTACGATTTAATTTCAAAATTAAATTATAAACTTCGTACAGAAATGATTTTCTTTTATTCTTAATTTCTGTGTTTCAGTAGATTATTGTGTTCTATTACTAATAAATAGAATTATTACTATTATTATTTGAAAAATATATAATGAAGAATTCATTATTTAATTCATTTCTTCATTTTGACATTATACATAATAAAAGTATCAAGAAACAATATGAAATTCTTAACCTCATTTCATTCTTAGTCAAGAGTTCCTTTTGACATTACATACAAGAAAGAAAAATAACAAAAAATAGTAATACGAAATTCTTTTGATCTTACTCCATGCTTAGTCAAGAATGACAAATCTATTTTTTTTCGAATTATTTGTCAGTTTTTTTCGTTCGGGAAGCCAGACTCAACTAGCAGACATTTCTTTAAATAAGAATCAGAAAACAAGAAGTACGAATGAAAGAGCCAACAAGGCTTGAGTCTCATTATGAATCAGGATAGAAGAATAGAAGTATGAATCTATTCAGAGTAAGATGAAAATGACGATTAAAGAAAAATAATATGTTTTTTTCCAATAAATATATGACTAACAGAATGTTGCATAAATTGATTCGTGCAAATGTTATTAGAATATTTTTTCAAGTTAAATATTATAACATACTTGTTAACTTTTAAAACTCATTTAATTGCGATAACTTTCTATGGAGATCATATTAACAAAATTGATTTCCCAGTTTATACACGTAAAAAAAAAGAATAAGAACGAATCGTCATCTTGTTTAACTTCTTCATACTTTATTAAAGTATTGCATATCAATAAAAGTTAAAGTTTTATAATTGAATTCAGGATGTATGTAATATTTAAATACCGTTTTCGTTTCTCTTTTTGGAATTATGCGATGTGATTTTAGTCTCATTTTTTCGATTATTAAATGTTATTTTTGTAAAAATATACTCCGAAAAATAACATGATTTATTTGATTAAATAAAATTACGGGGAATAATTGAAATCAATTTTGAAGAATTCTTATTTTAATTAAGTTATAGTTACAGAGAGGTAAAAATTCTGTAAGCTATTTGAAATACTTGTAGTAGCCTATATCGGTGCAGTTACAGCAATACACTTTAATAATTATATTTCCAAATATTTTATACCACATAGCCTAAGTTATATCATAAATATTATTTAACAACATTTGGTATATTCTATCTCCATAAACATTAATCTTAATTAAACATGGGCTTAAAATAAAAAAATATATTACTGTATCAATAAAATGTAATTTGTATGTAATACCTAATATCATGTTTCTTTATTTCATTTAATATAAGAGATATTATGTTACGTTTTATATTTCATTCAAAAGTATTTAACATGATATTCTGGTTCAACTATTTTTCAAACCAATATTTTTACATAATTCACTTATTCTTAACAATGGCACATTCAGGATTTAATCTTCAGAAGGAATCTTCAGGATTTAATCTTGAGCCGAACGAATAAAAAATTCTTAGTGTGAATTTAATAAAATTCCCATCTTATGTAACGGATAATTTTTAAGTAGTATAAAAATAGTATATACGACATGATATATAAAAAATATATTAGTTTTAATTAAAAAAAAATGTTTGGAAAATTTTCTAGTGTTTTTATTTTTTCCTTTTCCTTTGGAGGGTACCAGAGCTCCTTGACCCCCTCCCTAGGTGCACCAGCGATTCTTAAGAAATTTCATTTCAATATATTTATTTTAATTTTCAACAAAAAAATTTCGAACTTTCAGTAAAAATTATTTATGACGACTCATAAACATAATTTTATATTTTTACACATTTTTATGCTAGCAACAATTAGTTTTTATTTGCTGTTACTGCATCACTGTTAATAAAGTAACATTTGTTTTTGTTTGATATAAAAATAATTTATTTCTTAGTGGAAATTTTATACATAATGTAAAATTTTATTAATAAATATTTGTGTTAATATAAATTTAGTATATTCTCATTAATTTTCGCTAAGGAAGAGAATTAATACGCGAGAAATAAAAGGAATAATAGGTTACTAATAATATTTTATGTTAAAATGTAATAATTTAATTTAAAAAATTCATATATTTTTTCGTCATAAATATCTATCCCAAGTACAATAGGTACAATGGCCACTTAACAAGAAAATTTCAAAAAATTACAGATTCATTAGACTGCGTAAAATTTGTGTAACATCTGCATTTACTTGCAATTTTTTACATTTTATAATTGAATGCACCTGAATTCAATTGCACACGTGAATTCAATTGCGTTTCATTTAAATTAGCTATAACATATGTGATAAACTTGCTTTAATTTTCACAAAATATTTATTACTTAATAAAGATATTGGTAATTTCCGATGGAGTTTCCGGTATAAACAGTATTATATCCGGAATAAGACATTTGATGATGTCTTTCATATAGTTTTCAAGTATACTGGTACTTTGTTTGAAAGACTACGTTTCCTCTAGTTCCTCTAGACGAGAATAATCATATTTTTATAGTTCCTCTATAAAAATATGCATTATTCATTCAATGTTAATATTTATTTAAATATTTATCTATAAATTTCGGTAAAATTTTCATTTCAAATCGAGATAATATATCTAAACAAATAATTATAAATTCTGTGTTTTTTAGGTTTACAAATATATACTATTACCTTTAATTAAGGATTTTTGGTGTGCTAAAAAAAATTTTTCTATTGTTCTCATTTGGCATATGTCATTTTGTAATATTAGGTAACCAGATAAAGTAGTTTTTCATTTTGATGAATAAATGAATAAAATAATTTTATTCATCAAAATAGCCACTTTCACTTTCAATTACACTATTTTAACAGTAAGGCAGTTTGAAAATACCACAATTTTTATAAATTATTTGAATGATTTCTGAAAAAATCTTCCTTTGTGTCTGGTGGATTTTGAGGGGTATTGTTAATCACGAGTATTTGAACGTTAGTCAAACCTTTGCAGCGGTGAGAAGCTACAAAGAGTACATGACAAATTAAGGCTAAAACAGCCATCTTTGGCGAATCGTCGAAGTGTTTTTTACAAGATAACACTCACACACACGTTGCAGAAATTACAAGAAACAAAATAATGCAATTGGGATGGAAACTTTTACCTCAACCTTCCTATTCTACTGACTTATCTCCGTCGGATTACCACTTTTTTTTTTATCTTTGGATATGTATGAAAAATAATTTACAAATCACGCAGCTATAAAAAACGTACTTCAATTTTTAATGCTAAAAATAGTATTTTTAAACTGCATTCCCGTTGGGAAAGTGTAACAGAATGTAAAGGTAAATATTTCTGACGAATAAAATAATTTTAAATAATAAATACAAGCATTTTTATTCACATTTCAAAAATGACATTATTTATCTGGTTATCTGATATAATTATTCTGTGATGTCAGTCATTTCGCAATTCTTAATTTAAATTCAGAATTTATTGTCATATTCTATGTCGTTAATTAATTACTATATCCGCTCTAATTTTTATGGTCGTAATGTTAGATTTACATTGTCACTGTCGTCACTTGTTGTTGCTATTCGTCTCATAACTTCTATTCTCGTTTAAAATCCTTCTCTCTAAGATTATTTTTAGATAATTATTGTATGGAATGGTGAGTAATAATTAATATTATTTTAAGCCAGACTTTTTATTTTCTTATTGATTGAGAGTTATAATTTTACTCTATTAAGATATATAATATTATCTTGCTTGAATAATTTGATAAAAGATTCAAATAAGATTCAGATTCTAAATATATATTACAGTAGAGTCCACTCTTAATCACGAATATTGTTATTAGTCATCGAGGCTAATGTTATCAGAATCAGAAAATCATAAAATATACAAGTTAAATTACGCTTATAAAATATGTTAGCTTATTAAAGTTTCGGTTGTAG